AGAAATTTTTTTACCAAATGATAAATAAATTTACATAATTTAGTTGAGAGGTGAAGCCTTGGTGATAAAAGCCATACCTCAATTTGATCCAAAACAAACTATAAATCGATCGAAACCTTCAACTTTGGATCGGGGTCATGTTTTTCAATAGCAGCATTTTAAAAAAAAATCAATCCACAATCTTTTGTAGATCAAATAAATCAACACACATATCTAGTAAAGGTTTTGATTATCTTTCAAATGCACCATTTAATAAAAAAATGATTTGATATTGAAGATTTAATCCCTTAAATCGTGGAAATTTCACAAATAGTGAAAAATTAGCACACAAAATTGATTGAAATTTCTTATTTTTATGAATGTTTGATTCTCAAAACCAGGTCTATAACCTTATTGATTTTGATCAATAATTTATTGGAAAAGCCCAAACTATGGTAAAAAAATAGCATAAAAAAGCTTGAGAACAGCTTCAACCCCTAACCCCCTTCCCTTCAGTTCCTTTATCTTTCAATTCTCTAGTCTCTCATGTCCTTTCCTTTTTGGTCTCATCCTGTAAAGGTTCCTATCCATTCATTCGTTCTGTCTGTCCTTCCTTTCTCGGTTGACTTTGCTCCCGTTCTGACTCAGTGTGTGACTAGCTTATAACAAATCGCCAACTTGCTAAAGTAGAATCGTCGATCTAGGGGGAGAGCGAACAAATGATTCCCAATTTATTCACATCCGCTTACCACAATTAATTCTTTAATTTTAATTGATATGCTAGTATTTGATTGTTCTAGCTTTTCTTGTTTCAAAAAATATTTTACTTTATCATGAACATGATAAATAATATGAGTAAAATGGAAAATTCATAGGATGCAATTTCTGTAAGGCAAATAAAGCTTCACCTTGAATCATTGTCCGAAAAGCACTGGGCCATTGAAATTCTTTATGATGGCTCTAAAATCAATTTCCAATATATACTATGAAATTTGAAGCTCAAAAAATAGTTTACAGCTTGAGGATACATTAGCACTTATTTTTAGGTGAAATAGACAATCTAGATAATGTTTTACTGCATACATTCTTTTTAGGGCTTGAAATCCTATTTTTTTTACAACAATAATGGTCAAGGCCTAATGATCATTTTGAAGGTTTACTGATGCCATAACTACAGTTTTTGAGAAGTTTTGAGGTGGGCCTTTACTTATTTTGATAGGGCTGGCCCTATCAAAACATTTTCGAATTCATAATTACCAATATACTGGAAGAGCCTCGTTAGGAGTGATCAAGAGAGAGGTGAGAGGGTGAAAAGAGAGAGGAAAGAGAGTGAGTGTGTAAGATGTGAAGTTAATTTGAGATGATTCCCTGAATCAGAAACCGAAAAGGAATCCCCTCATAATCTTTAGATATCCTTAAACCATCCATATGAAATTAGAAATTTTCTTAACCTTGAACCTCTAGCCTTAGGAGAACCTTGCAATAAAAATAAAATTCAAGAATCCTATTTTTGGAAAGGCAACAAGAGAAATATTATTCTTTCCTTTTGATATAATGTAACAAGACAGAAAAGTATATATTGCATGTAACATGATAGAAAGTGTCCATTATACTGTTATAATACTCTTATATATACAATGAAAGAACCACCACAATGTTAGTGTGGGTACAATTACTTTTTAGAATTTCCTTTTTCTCTTTAAACTTCCTCAGTAATAAAAACAAAATTAAAAAATCCTAGTTTTGGAAAGGCAAAAAGAGAAATATTATTCTTTCCTGCCATTGGTGTCGAAATAGATTTAGTACCTAATATTTGGGCACCAACAAGATGATTCGGAGCATATTTACTTTGTGACAAAAAGATTCCACCAAGAAAATAAGAAACCTCTATGCCAAGAAAATAGTGAAGAGGTCCAAGATCTTTCATTGCAAAATCTCTTCCAAGTTGAGAAATAAACCATTACAAAATATTTGAATTATCCCATGTAACAATAATATCATTGACACCGAGGAGAAGAATAATAGTACCATGAGTAGTGCAGCAAACAAATAGAGATAAATCAACTATACTGCAATAAAACCCCAGTGATAGTAAATAGGCACTAAATCGATCAAACCAGGCCTAATGTGCTTGCTTGAGACCAAATAAAGCTATTTTTAATTTGCAGACATGATTTGGATATTCTGAGCTAACAAAACCAGGAGGTTGTTCCATAATTACATGTTCCTTAAGAAAGAAAGTTATGCAGAAAGACATTTTTAACGTCATGTTGTTTCATAGGCCAGTAACAAACAATAGCTATGGTGAGTACAATTCGAATACTAGCATGATTAATAACATGACTATATGTTTCAGAGAAATTAACTCCAACGGCAACTAACAACATTCATATCTGAAAGACGATGAACTAGCTCCCAAGTGGAATTAACATGTAGGGCTTCAATGTCCTCTTCCATTGTACGATGTCAACCAAGATGACCCAACACAGACTTGATAGACTTAGGTTCTGAAGGAATAGTTTCGAAAGTAAAATAATTTGAGACTGTTGCCATGGAAGCAAAAATTTGAGGTTTTAGAGTACTATTTTGAGTTCTTGTAAGCATGTGATGATGAGAGCGCTCAGGGGCCTGTGAAAAATTAGATTGGTTAGTTTCTTGGGTGTCAACATTTTCATCACCATGATCATGTGCTACATCATCTTCGACATATGTGTTGGTGTTATAATGGTGGAATCTTTCTCTACCAGAGAAGTTGGAGAGATATCATTATTGATGTACAAATCAGTTAGAGGAGTAGACACATCCGGGGCATCCCTTATGGGTGGTCTATGCGGAGGTGAAGAATAAGAAGAAGAAGTTTTATGTCAGATTTGTAAGTAGACAACTCCCCCTAAACAGATACACTATCAAACAAAAAATTTGGATTAGCATATGGAAAAATATTTTCATCAAATACAACATGTCTGGAAATAAATACTCGCCCTGTGGGTGGATGCAGACCTATGTAACCCTTATGCTGAATCTTGTAACAAAAAAATACACATAGAAGAGAACGAGGACAAAATTTATCTACAACATAGTCTCGAAGGTACGAAAAACACTGACATTGTAGGCGGCCAAATAATAATGAACATAGTGAATCCATTTGCAAATTAGTTGAAGGAATCCTACTTATGACAAAGACTGCGGCATGTAAAGCTTTAACCCAAAACCGTTTAGAAATTCTTACATGAAACATCATTGTAAGCCTTAATTCTATATTATTTATATGTTTCAGGTCAGCGATTCCATTTTGTTCAGGGGTTCCTGGATATGATATCTGTTGCACAATTCCATGATCAGTAAGATGAGCAATGAGTTATTTCTTAGCAAACTCACCACCTCCATCACATTGAAAAATTCGAATTCGTTTCTCAAATCTCTTCAACCATACGATAAAATTTTACAAATGCAGAGAAAAATTTAGATTTTCTTTTCAAAGGATAAATCCAAGAAAAGCGAGTATAATCGTGTACAAACACCATATAAAAGCGACAACTTTGATTAGATAAAATTGAAGCAGGACCCCATAGATCTGAATGAATCTTAAAAAGAGGTTATGTAGAGGTCTTATCAATACTACTAAACTAGAGTTTACAACTTTTTTTGATCCGATAACTAGTACAATTAGAATGAGGTTTATTCCATGCATCAACATTAATCAAATGTTTAGATTCTAAGTAGCGAATTACTTTATTTTGAGGATGTCCAAGTCATTTATGCCACACATCTTTTGATGTTCTCTTATTTCGATTAGAAAATAAAGCTTCCTTCACAACCTCAAGTGTATAAAGTCCGCCTTTTCTGCTCCCGTTGACTAGAGTTCTCCTTGTGTTCATTTCTTTATTTAGAAAACCATTTGATGAGAACTAAAAATTATAAAGAAAATATTTTATAAATTGGCTAACATATAATAAATTATTTTTCATCTCTAGCATCAAAAGAACATTAGAAATATTAATTTTTTTAGAGCCAACATCAATATTTATATTACTAACATGTGAAATAGTCAATTGCTCACCATTGCCAATCATGACCGTGTCTCTACCACTATGAGGGTGAAGATTTTGTAGTTTACTTGGGTCTCCTGTCATTTGAGTTGAGGCACCAGTGTATGGGAACTATTTTAAGTCGTGGGTATTTGCTATCTTCACTGCATTAAGAGCTTGATAAATGTCTTTTTCTTGGTACGTATGATTGAATCGGTGCCAGCACTTCAATGTAGATTGTCCAAATTTTTCACAAATTTGACACTTTTCTTAGGATACCTGAGTTGATTGCTGGATCTGTGAATCTTGTTGGAACCTTTTATTCACGTATTGCATAGATGTACCACCACAGTTAATCCTGTTTTTCATACTAGGACAAAACATATTGAGTTAGACTATTATTTTGTACGTGAAAAGGTTGCCCTTGGGTTACTTGTCACTGAATTATTTCTTTACGTAACCAAGTAGCTGATATCTTCACGAAGCCATTGCCTCAAGATACTTTTCAAGGTCTTTGCTTCAAACTCAGACTTCAGATGCCTCCCTAGCTGACTTTGAGAGGGAGTAATAAAAACAAAATTCAAGAATTTTAGTTTTGGCAAAGCAACAAGAGAAATATTATTCTTTTTTTTTGAGAGAATGCAATAAGATAGGAAAATATATATTGCATATAACAAGATAAGAAAGTGTCTATTATACCATTGTAATACTATTATTCATACAATGAAAGAACCACCACAATGTTAGTGTAAGTTACAATTACGTTTTAGAAGTTCCTTTCTCTCTCTCTCTAAAATTCTTCACCATGGAGGGTAAGAACTTTTGAGGAAAAGCTAAATTTAGGTTCCATCTTTCATTGCAAACTTTAAAACCTAAAATCAGTGGCATGGTAGGACCCATGAAGCAAGCATGACATGTCCTCTAGCAAAAATATATGAAAGATGCTCAAGTCGTAATCCTCGAGGAGATATTTCCAGGTTGTAAAACCCAAAGTAGGATTGCAGTCGATATGCTAATGGCCCTGATGGGATGGCTACCCTCTGGCCATATGGTTCTCGGAATTCAAGTTTCAACTCATCAAAGCTGTTTGTTTTTTTGCCTTTCACCTGTCCCTCAAGGACCAAAAATAAAACAAAGAACAACAATTTTAAACTCATTGCAACTTAGGGACTCCAGACCTAAATCAAATCAAACCACAAACTTAGTGCAAAGTTAGAGCAAACCTAGACGAACATTTCCTTCTAGCCTGCAAGCTTTCGAGGAACATCCTAAGGAATCTTCTCTCAGGAGTTCGAGAAGACTTCCAGATGAATAACCCCGGGTGCCGTTGTGCCCAACCCCAACTCCAGGTGATTTGAGCCGCAGCTCCTAGGGCTGGGCCTCTAGGTACTTTGTTTTTACTTTCTTCTTTATTTTGTTTATTGTTCTTACCTCTTTATTTTGTTTTTCCATTTCTACAAAGCATTTCGAAATCTCCTCCTTCATATTCTTACTGATTTCCGATGTTTCCCTGTTTTACACAAATCTGAGCCAGTTGTTGGTCAACAATCTGCGAGGAAGAAATCCCTTTGAGGCAGATTCCTCACAAATTAGAATTTCACAAATTAGAATTTGATGGGACCTTCTCTCCGCTGACACCATGATTTAACATGAATGAGGACGGGATGGACTTTAGGTAGCTTGTTCATTTTGCCTGTAAACAACTTACATATTGATGTGAGACTCAAGAAAAAATAAAGCCATTTCATATTCTTCTCTCGTTGTATTTTATTTGATAGTGATATGGAGATGGCTCGAGTGGCAATTGTTTATAGGGAAAAGTTTATATAAGGTTGCAACCTCATAATGTAGAGCTGTGGAGGCACTTCAAAAATCTATCGGAAAATGTACTTTTAATGTTGAAAAACCTTCTGCTTGATCATCTCGACATCGAGATGTATGACCATGAAAACTAAAAAGATTTTAAGTATCAGAAATAGTGCATTTTACAACATATTATCTACACCGTCCATTTTCAATATTTTCATATGTTTATAGATCTACTTGATTTTAACTATTTTTGAAATTTAGATTTTTATAATTAGATATAAAAATAGATTTTCAGATAATCCTAAGAACATTTTACATCAAAATTATATACCATGATAAAATTTGAGGCACACCTTACCTCTATAGCTACGGGTGCATCCGAAGGCCAACTGCACCCTTGTTTATATCCTGCTCATTCTAGAAGTACATAAAAGACTAATTGATCTTTAACATAAATCACCTTCCAATAGTATAGTTTATAATGTGGGCCTTCGTGAATGTCGTACATAATAAACATAATCAAATTAAAATACTTTTCACAACTATATTTGGGGATCTATTGGTTAGGTATCCCTTCTTCTTAGCAAAATGATTTATCCTTTACCCATACAATAGTAAATTTTATGCACCTTTGGGCATTCATGAACCTTTGGGAATGGCACATTTATATTGAAAACATTAAAATTATCAAATTTCAGGCGCATTCTTACATGCTCATTTTAAATATCTAATGCCAAATGTCTCCCTCATAATTATGCCATGGGATTCTAAACCAAAGGCGGGACCACCAATTTTGGAAATTTTTTTTTGGCAAATTTGACCCAAGAACACTGACTACCATACATGATGTAAATTGCTCAACCATAAGATGCTCTTTTTAATATTTATTTAGATTAATCATAAGATTTCAGGACGAAAGTCATAATTGTCTCTTTTTATGTGGCTAATAAATAATCTACCAAACTTTAAAAACCCATTACATTGAGGACCAACTTGCATTAGTCATAAATACAACACGTTTCCAAGTGCCAAGGCACTGAAAAGTCTCAAGTCCTCGTCATTCTCTTTCTTTTATATTTGGTCCCAACCATGGTCTAGCACTACACCCTTCTATCTAGCTCCTCTAGTGCTCTTACATTAAAGCTTCATTAAATCCATCAGATCTTCTTAACCTGATCATCTGCTTCCTTAAATCTTTATTTTCACAATTTCAGCCATGAATCAAGACGGCTTAATAGATCGGAAGGGGAATCCCATCAACAAGCAAAAACATGGAGGACCTAGAGCTTCATTTTTAACACACTGTAAGACGACCCCAACTCAATTTCTTATCTGTTGAGGCAAGCAAAAGGCTCATGCACCTGTATTTGTGATATTGTTATTTGTAAATCATATTCGCTATTTAGCGTAGTTGCTTACATTGGTTTGTTTCATCACAGTCTTAGTGCTGGCCGTAAACATTGCAATGATACCGAACATATTGAACACAGTGACTTACCTGCATGAAACCATGTATTTCGATCTAGCACAGGCGTCTACTACCATGACAAACTTCCTTGGTGTGACTTCTCTCTTTGCTCTGCTTGGGGGGTTTCTCTCAGATTCATACATCAAGAGATTCACGATGATACTCATCTTCGGTCCATTGGAGTTTCTAGTATGCTATAATTTTCATTTGTGTTATTTTTTGGCTAATTACTACGCGAAAATTTAATCAAATCAACTTATGCACATCAAGTTCTGTTGACGTTAAATTTTGATTGTACGAAAACTCTTCATTTGCAGAAACAGAGTAAATAAGTATGATTCACACCTTTTCTTAATAAATTACTGGTCACTTTATATGCTACCAGGAAAATATGCTCAATTCTCTAATTTCTGGAAGATATGTAACTATGTATCATAAAGAATCTGTCAAGATGGAAGAATACCAGTTTAGTATATGCCATACTAATTCCCACTTCAATAGCTTTTAGTTCTTATTCACTTATGGTAGAATATTGAATAGAAATTTCATATCAGCAATTAAATCCCAATTTAAAATACCAAAGCTTAGGTATTATGTTAAAATCTTATGTTAACAATGACTTTTTCATATTGATAACTCCAACAGTTTGAGATGGGGTATAAGACAGTAACAAATTGATCTATGGTTTTGGAAGATTTAAGAAGTGATAAATTGTTTATGTAATCATGTAGGGATATGGGATGCTTGCAATTCAAGCACATTTTGGATCGCTTCGTCCTCCTCAATGTGACATTGGGAATGAAAAGAGCAATTGCAGTCCTGTTCAAGGAGGAAAAGCTGCAATGCTTTATATTGCACTATACACAGTGGCCCTCGGTGAAGGTTGTTTAAGAGCTAATATACCATCATTTGGAGGTGATCAATTTGATGAGAATGATATTGAAGAATCGAAGCAAAGGTCTAGCTTCTTCAACTGGTACACCTTCAGCATTTCACTTGGTGGTGCAATTGGATTGGTTCTCATAATTTCGCTAGAAAGTAGTAAAGGGTGGGACTATGGATTTGCAGCATGTTCCTTAGTCATTTTGGTAGGTTGGCTCGTGCTAGTTAGTGGGTTCCCCTTGTATCGCCACCAAAGCCCAAGTGGTAGTCCTTTGGCAAGAATCATGCAGGCAAGGAACACCTCTATCTCTCTCTTTGTGTGCCTGTGAGTGCACGTGTGTAGAGGTGGCAACTCGCCAAGTGGCTCGGTCAGGCCCAATCAGTCCGGCCCTAAAAAACTAGGGCCTAAGCAATGAAATGTAGCCCAAGGGCCGGGCAAAGTCCAGGCAGCCATGGGCCGAGGGTAAGGCCAGTCCAGTTTGGCTCAGCATGACCCTGATAGGGCTAAGGCCTTGCTAGGCCCAATGCCTTTTTGTCCCAGCCCTATGGGACCTAGGCTGGGTTAGGGCTAGGTAAGCCAGACCTGTTGCCACCCCTATGCGTATGTGACATGAATCTTTTCTGAAAGGAAGCCACGTGTGACACGGTCTCTCTCTTGTTCTCTCACATTCGACAGATGCATGACACACACATACCCTTTACTGTAACGGGAACACACGTGTTACACACACTCTTTCATCCTCTCTCTCTCATGTAATTATACACATTTTTTCTTCTAGGTAACAGTTGTGGCCCTAAAGAATAGGAAGCTTGATCTACCTGAAAATGCTGAGGAATTAAACCATGGGGAGACTAAGGAGGATATGGTGGGTGTGGAAGTTCTATCTCACACCAATGATTTCAAGTAAGTAAGACAAATTGCCAAGTATGTTATTTCTTTTATGGACGGCTTATATAAACTTTTTAGGGTTGTTCCAAAGTTGGAATATCCTCTAAGTGATCAACTCAACCTTGAGATGTATAAATATGAAATAAAGGACTATAGGCCCTAAAGTAGTATTTATAGATCTTCATGATTTGCATTTTTTTTTTAGCTTCATATTTCATAATTGAAAGAAAAAAAAAAATTTCCAAGCCATCATAAGAATTTTTAGCGTACACACTGTATCTAACTAATGGTTTAGAGGTATGCATTAAATATTTAAGGTTGAAAATCCTGATTTTTCTCTAACATTCTATGTGTTTTCTAAAGCCTTTCATATAATGTTTTAGTTGTATATTAGTGAAAAACTGAACCATATCTAGCATCCAAGAACACCAATAGACGACTTTGGGGTTGTCACATACCTATTGCCTACATGGAAATTTTTCGAAGGGGTAGTAATCATTGAAAGAAAAATCTCCGGTTCAGCCGGCTTTGGTGATCACTTGGGTATTTAAAAAAATAAATAAATAAATATATAAAATCTCAAAAAATAAGGAATTTTGTTTGTAATGCATTTTTTAATGTTTTTCATCGTTATGGCAAATTTTGAAAATTTTTTTTGCCATTAATATTTATTTTTACATTTTCCGTCTTTTTTGAAAAATTAAAATACCTCTGGATACAAATCGATTCTTTAAATCCATTTTTTTCGTTAATTTTCAATTTCATTTCGATGTGCTTTGTTTAATCATTCTTTAAATATATTTTTCATATTTTGTTATATATTTTTTTGTATGTTTTAAAAATTTAATGCTTTTTTGACCGTCCGGGACTTGCCCGGTTAGAACGATTGCACCGCTTCCGGGCCAATGGCTCGTTAACTATTCCGATTTGATTTTTCCTTAATATCTTAAAATAAACAATATCATCATACTCATTAGTCAAGAGATTTATTGCTTTGAATTCTTCTGTACCCCATTTCTACGTCAATATTTTTTATGGCCATGTATAGTGTACTTGTCATTTTAGAATAGGACACGAAATTGGCAAATTAGGTTTTTTCTTCCCCTTCCCATTGGCCTTCTTCCATTTGGGATGGAAGTATTATTTATTCCCCACAATATTCCCAAAAGATTTGTTAGTCGTGGGCGAGCAAATTGTCCCCTATTAGGACTAAAATTTTCAGACCCAAAGTTTGGTATGTAATTCACTCATCCTAGCCACTAACCTAAAACAATAAAAAGGGTTACGCACCTTAGCAAGGTTTGAGAATAATCATGTCCCAAGATTGAATAGAGACCGTCCATTTTCTGAACTGTTAAAAATAGGTGTTTAAGAATGTAAAACCCTGTTATTTTATTTTTTTAAATTATTCATTTGGTGATTCCAAAGATCTCTGATCAAACAACTTTTCCAAACCAGTGTTAAGGGAACTAGAATCAAGTCTTGACTCCACCACTCACTCTTCCAAGTGACCTTGCAAATTTTGGACAAAGCAGCCCTAATGTTGAGAAGAAAAAATCACAAATAAAGAAAATTTCCAGGATTCGGTAAATGTCGAGTCCTACAGTAAACTAGGGGATTCACTAAATATTCCAATTTTAGACAAAGTGTATAGTCCCTCATTTTGGAAGCATCCAAATTGGGGAACCCTTGGTTTCGAGCGAACTCAGGAGAGTACGAGATAGTGAGTTTTTTTTTTCTCAACGAAGCAGATTTAATATATTTTTCCATGGGAGCACGCACCCTATCAATAATATTTTTGATGATTTATAAATTTTACTTTAAAAAAGAAGAAGGAAAGGAGTGGGGTGGGCGGTGGGGGAGTGATTTCATGCAATGATTTCATTGTAATATAATGAAACTGCATTTCTAGAAAAGCATGTTAAGCATACTTATGTGATCCCGAATTTTGCAAACAACATTCTCTTCATCCTAATAATCAGTATCAAAAAGAAAAGACTGACTCTGCCATATAGAAAAGGTGAAAATAAGTAACACTCTAGTGAGAAATATTGACCAGCTATTTGGTGAACATTGAGATCTAGGATTTTAAGAAGTTAATATGTTTTTCATCTGATATGACCATCTACAAAAAGCCCAGATTTAAAAATCCCATCAAATGGACAACCTACAGTCATTTTGAAACAAAAAACCATCTCAGGGTACATTTTTCAATTTTGTTTTTTTGTTCTTTCCTTTTGGTTTTTTATATTGCTCATACTAATAAAAAGGTGAATGTTTCAAATTTAGGGCCAAGGAAGTGCATGTAACATGTTTTTTTTAAAGTGCAATTTTCATTAAATTACAACGAAAAGCAGCCCCTTTTAAAAAGTGAAACTATATAGGGTGTCAATCTATCTTGGGTTTACTAGACATCATTGACTATACATGATGGACAGTGTCACTTTACTCACTAAATCCAATCAATTGTGCATGCCCCACTAATGATACTATATACA